GTTCAAGTTGCTCGTAGGCATAGCACGTTTTATGTCTGAAACTATGATCAAGGAAGGAAACTTAAAGTACGATACGTAAACTAATAATATTAATAAGCATACATGTATCGTCTCAAAAACAAGTACCTAATTTTTCTTTTTTTCTTCTTCTTTACGAAAAATGTTTAAAATTAATAAAACAAAAAAAAGTAGACAGGGGTGAGCAAGACCGAACATATTTTTTACTAGAACTAACTTCATCCTAAAATTGAATATAATATTGGATTGAATAACTTTATAGTTTATTCGCAATGGTGAACTACAAACAATCATTTGATCAGACTAATAGCCCAAGAGCCTACGACGACCAGACCTTCGTTATTTTATAAAAGTTGAAAGTTTTTCTGTGCATGTCCCCTAAACTTTAATAAATTATAATTTTATACTTTCGTTATAGTATAAAAGCTAAATTTTATATATGAACATTGAGGGTGTCTGGCAAGGGGTTGCCACGATGTTAACTGTTTGGCAATGAATGACGTGATTTTTAATAATATTCTGAAGGTAATACCAAAAAATCACACTTTATTATTTGATGAATTTAGATCGGTATTTTACACACCTTTAGTACCCAAATTTCCTAATGGTCCATCTTTCTTTCCTGTGTTGGGAGCATGTGCTGACAAACTTTCAGCTTTTATAAAATAACGAAGGTCTGGAGTTCACAGGCTCTCAGTTTATTAGGGGTGTCTGGCAGGGAGTAGCAACTGTCATAAGTGTCCGGCAATGGATGACGAGATTTCTAAAGTTATTCCGAAGAAAATATAAAAAAATTGAGCTTTATATTTTAACGAATTTAAGGTACTATTTTATACACCTTTACTACCTATTACCTGCCCAAGTAACCACAACCTAAACTCTATAGTCACTGGTCGTTTTTACCTGTATAGGGGACATACACAGAAAAACTTTCAGCTTTTATAAAATAACGAAGTTTTGGCCGTTGTGGGCTCTTGCTCTATAATTTATTGTGAAGATTTTCTTAAATTATAATTTACTACCATTTTTGGACAGTTTGAAACAATTAATAATCGCAAAAATTGTCTACATTATACAATTCACTTTATTTGATTTAAATAATATTTCAACATAATTTGCATCGCATAAAATAAAAAATAAAAGTTATAGAAAGTAAATAAGTTATAGAAATAAAATAAAAAAGTTCCTGTTGGCAAATCACGTTAAATGCACGTGAAAGTCAACGTGTTAAGGTTATGTTCCTTTTTGTAATGTAGTGCAGTACAAAATACTTAACCCACTCCTCTCTTATTTGTAGAGAATTTAACAGTACAGAGTAATAAGTACTCTTAGTATAATACTCTTTAAGTATTTAGTATAGTAATACTCTTTAAGTTCTTTGAGTATCAAAGAAATTTTGTACAACGTTCATAATCAAATGTAGACGTTTAAAGTGGATGCAAGACATAAGCGTACACAAAATAGGATTACAAGAAAAGTAAACCCAATATCTTGTTCTTTTCTCTTTACTTATCTTTTTCTTCAAATAATTTCTATCTTACCTTTTTATCTATTACTTTTATATTTTACTTTTATAACCTTAAATAATAATATTTAAATTTATAACTTACTTAACCTAATTTTTTACCTATAAAACCAAGTAAAACAAAAATAACATTTCTCTACTTCTATAAAAATTGGTAAGAATAACATATCGCGAAATGTATTATTATACATATAATTGACTTCAAATAAAACAAAAATAACCATAGATAACTTGAGTAAATAAAAAACTTAAAAGCAAGCAACTAACATAAGAAGGGAAAAATCGAGCAGCTCTAACAAATCCGCGAGAAGATGGTTGGCCCACGCAAAGATAAAAATAGCAAGTAGGAATTACGTGGAGGAGTATAAGAAACGAGAAAAGGTTAGTACCGAAAAGCTCGTAAAACGGGTCTGCTTGCAGTAAAAATCGGCAAAGCCACGTACACTTGGTGTTTCAAACGAGCAAAGGTTAACTCCAATGGAAAGCGTCGCGTACGTCGCGATTAAGAATTTTTTATAGTCTTTGATCGAGTCTGATAAGAGTACTAAATATATACAGGGTGTTACAAACTTAAACGATCAAATTCGTGCAATTTTAATTTACGTTTAAAAATTAGATCCAAATATTTGGAAAGTTTGTCAGGTTAAACATTAAGTTACTAAATACACACACACACATACACACACAACGAATTTTGTATAAGTAAACGAAACTTTGACGTAATCCTGACGTAATCAGTTAACACTTATCGATTTTTACTCATGATGATTACTTAAATAAAAGATCTTTTTTAGTGAAATTACTGGTGCAAAGAATTAAGAATATAATTATTGAAAATTCGTAGAAAATTGTTATCAATCGCGTTGTATTATTAATTTTATTGTTAATTAGGCTTCCATTCGAACAACACAAAGACAAAATAATCAAATACTTTATTAAGAACATCTATTAATTTTTTTTATTACATTGTATTGTTTTATAGAACTGTTAATGACACAAAAATGACATGTTATAACATAATTAAAAAGAAATACACGTAACCTACGCAGACTCAATAAACATAATCGACCTTCTGTTTTCTTTAATGGGAAAATGCGTAGTCGTTTATTTGACGTATACAAAATGTGTTCATAACTTTGCAATCAAAGTGTCTATTAACAAACTTTACATAACATTTTTGTTTTTTTCTTTTTAAGATACAGATTAAATGTTCGCAGTTTAATCGTTTAAATTTGAGACACCCTGTATATAGTATGCATATATGAGTTTGTGTGTAAGTAATGCACTTTGTAATCAAAGTGTCTATTAAGAAACTTTACATAATATTTTTCTTTTTTTTTCTTTTTAAGATACAGATTAAATGTTCGCAGTTTAATCGTTTAAATTTCAGACACCCTGTATATAGTATGCATATACGAGTTTGTGTGCAAGTAATGCACTTTGTAATCAAAGTGTCTATTAAGAAACTTTATATAATATTTTTGTTTTTTTTTCTTTTTAAGATACAAATTAAATGCTTGCAGTTTGATCGTTTAAGTTTGGCACACCCTGTATATAATATGCCTATATGAGTTTGTGTGCAAGTAGTTACTACTTATATCTATATAGATATTTGCCTTCGAGGCGTCTTTTCCAAGCAAACGTGATTCTTATGGCCTTCGGAGCGGCCTCGATTCTCCACCCACCTTGCATTTTCGATTATACAATTTCAAAAAAGGCTGGGAAAATATCGAAGAGAAATATTTTAACAAAAATCGAGAATTATTTTTCACGTTGAAACATAAACGAATAAACGTGAACTTTAATGTACGCATCGAATTATAAATTAAACAAATGTTTAAATAAAAATAAATAAATAAAATATATTTTATATTATATTTTATATACTTGTATTAAAGTATATAAAACAAATTTTTTTAAATATATACAGTGATAAAACATGGGGCTAATAACCGTGAGCTTTAAATATATGCACTAAATTGTACACTAAACAAATTTTTAAATGAAAATAAATAAAAAAAATATATCTTATATTATATTTTATATACTTGTATTAAAGTATATAAAACAAATTTTTTTTAAATATATACAGTGATAAAATATGGAGCTAATAACCGTGAGCTTTAAATATATGCACTAAATTGTACACCAAACAAATTTTTAAATGAAAATAAATAAAAAAAAATATATATATATATATATATCTTATATTATATTTTATATACTTATAATAAAGTATACACACACACAAATTTTTTTTTAAATATATACAGTAACTAGGAATACTGTTATACACTTTATAAAATTGTTTATAAATTTTTTACATTGATTCAGACACACAATTCTGTATTACGATCAATAAGGTGATATTTCAAAGTCAACATTATATTATTCCAAATTTTACGATGTTTGTTTTCATTTTGTTTTAAAAATGTTTGTTTTATTTTTGTATATCTTTGAAAATCATTTGTAGTCAGTTTTACACCGCATTCGAAATCATCGAAATTTTCGAGCATTTAAACTTTCACAATTATAAAAATGATTAATACCTATAGTGTTTATTGTTTTTAATTAATACACACATATTACTTTCTCATGCTATTAGTTGTGCAATTAATAAAGTGTTTATCGAACACGTTTTCAACATAAAACCAACATCGATGGAAATAAAATATAAACATTATTTCAAAATTAAAGTCTGGTTTTTTCACACAATAAATTGCAAGAAAATGTAATGTTAGTCAATCTCTTGTGCAAAAGATTGGAAAAAAATATTGTACCAATACACTAATATTGTTCGAAAAGGTGATCAAAATTATTAACATCACAAGAAAGAAAAATTTTTGATAGATGTGTTCAAAAAAGTGAAACTTTTCCAATGCTTCTACGGTTGCAAATGTATTAAGGGTTCATTCTGGTTTATCATTTTGAAAAAATCAATTTTTTTTTTGCATATTTCGAAAGTAGACATATGTAGAATTATCATACAAAAATTTTAGAACAATTTGAGCAGTTTAAGTATATTATTTTGCGACCCAAACACATAGAGATATTACAGATAGAGGAGACAAACCATCTGCGATGGTGTAAGTGGAAATGTCTCTGCATGAATTTAGCAGCAAAAAACAAAAGGTTGATGTTGACCTGACAAAAACAGAATTACTTGAAAGATGTTTAKGTGGCCACACATTTAAAATAATAATGAGTGCTTCAACAAATGCGTTTGGGCTATGGTGCCTAAACACCTATTTAATGGTAAAAAAATTGTTGAAATAGCTTGTAAATTGGCA